TCTTAATTAATAGGATAGGACTTGATTAGAGCTTTTCTTAACTCTTTAAATTTTAGATTCCTATTAATCTTTTTCTTAATCTCTAATTGTTAAGTAGTAGTAAGCTTGTTACCTGTATTAGTCTAAGCTTTAATAACGTTTTTGCATTTAGGAGGTTTCTATAGGTAAGATCTACTGCATAGGTATAAAGACTCCTTCTTTAGTTAATTAGAAGGTAGAGCTCCTATTATTGCAAACACTCTAGGACCTTTAGAGCTTAATCTTATATTGTTTTCTTAGAGCAGTAATAAATAGATCTTAGCAACCTGTGGGAGGTTATAAGTTAGCTCTCCTATTACTAACTTTTTAATAATCCTTTAAAACATAGTTTAACCCTAATCTAGTAAGATCCTAGTAGATAGAGCTTTAAGATAATCCTGTACTATAAGCTATCCTTTAACATTAGGAACGTTGTATACCTTAGCTTGCGCATATAGGATTATCCACTCCTTCTACTAGTAATTAGCGTCTTAGCTACTTATCTTTGCCTTAGCAAGATAAGCTTTATACTACGATCTCGCTAGTATTATAGCGCTTAAGTTAGTTAGCGCTAGGTTATTGCGGAGCACTTAGATAAGTGCTTAGAGGGTTACTCTTCCTTAATTAACAAGCTCTATATAGGCTAGGGTAAGGATCCCTTAATCTACTATATTATTAACCTATATAAAGAGGTTCTAGATTGCTAATAACTTTAATGCCTAGTCTAATAAGCAGGCTTAGTACTAAGCTATTTAGAGCTTGTACTGCTTGCTTATTATATTAGATAGCGCGATATCTGTTAGCATATTAGGCTTAATAGGTTTATTCTTAAAGTGGTTTTTAGTATCTAGAGCCTTAGGGTCTACCTCTACCTAGATCCCTTTAGTTAGGGCATGGTATCTAAATTAAATGTACTAGGTAGGCTAGTTAGTTAATCTAGTAAGTAGGATATCCCACTTTAGGATTTAGTTACTTATAGTAGAAGAGTAATAAGTAAGCTTTTGCTTAAGAAATAGTATAAAGAGTAAAGCTTGCTAGCTTAGTGTCTAAGTTAAATAATACGCTTAAATAGATAGGACAATCTTTAATAAGGTAAAGCGCGAACTAGGCTTATAACTGTTGAATTTTAGATCACTAAGGTTAGGAATAATTTAGGAGATAGATTATTAGATTATATCTACTATAATCAGACTTATATATATAGAGCTTTAGCTACCCTTACTAGAAGGTAAATAATTAGTAAACCTTCCTTACTAGAGCTCCTGCTTTTTGTTAGGCACTTAGCAGTGAGCTGGCAGTTGATTAGATAGTGGGTCATACAGGGGTATTGACCAGGATTGATTAGGATTGATCGGGATTAAGATGCTCCGTGATCCAGTTAATATCCCTCCTGTAACAATAAGCAACCCCTAAGAGCGTATCCTAAATAGTCTACTTCTAATAATATTTCTTTAGCTAGGTCCTATTATATTAGTACTAGTCTAGATATAAATACCTTTTTTAGTGTATTAAATACACTCTATTCTTCCTCTCCCTATTAAAATAGGGTATCCTTTCTAGTTAGTTAGTTTAAAGGTGCTACTACTTTAGAAAACTTTGCGATAAAATTATAGTAGAAGTTAGTAAAACCTAGAAAACTCCTTACCTCTCTTATATTCTTAGGGGATTCCTATTCCTATACTACCCTAAGCTTTTTAGGGTTAGGTCTAAGTAATTTGCCCACCTTAATAATATAGCCTAGGTAGCGTACCTCCTTAATACTAAACGCACATTTCTCTAAGTCTAGGTATAGTCCTACTTCTTTTAATAGCGTAAGTATATACTTTACTTTTTCTATATAGTTAAACTAGTCTCCTCCTAAATAAATTAGGATATTATTAAGGTAGGCTATTATATATAATCTAAGTAACTCTATAAGCGTAGTATTAATATATTATTAGAAAGTAGATAGCGCACTACTAAGACTAAATAGATATACTAACTATTTATATAACCTAAACTAGGTATAGAAAGCTATTAAGGACTTATAACCTTCTACTATTCTAACTTTATAGAAGGCAGCGCAAATATCTACTTTTATAAACTAATTTACCCTAGATAGTGTGCGCAAAGTTTCCTTAATAAGTAGTAGTAGGTATTAGTCTAATATTATTATACTATTAAGTATCTAGTAATCTATATAAAGGCGCTAACTGCCTAATAGCTTTTTTACTAGCAATACTAGAGCTCTAGCTATAGAAGAGCTTGCTTAGATCTAGCCCTTGTCTATTAATCTAGTAAGTTATATTCTTAGTTCTAGTAATTAATTACAAGATATAGGGTACAGGGGACCCTATAGGGGGTTAGGCTAGGTTCTATCTAGGAGAGTTGTTAACTAAATATAGTAATCTATACTACCCTAATAGGGTAGCAAACTACTTACTAACTCTTTATTAAACAGGTCCCTAAACTCTTGTAGTTCTAGTAGTAACTTTATCTTTCTAGTTTTATACTTAGGTTTATAGGGAACTATACTATTAGTAATATAGATAGTATATATATTAATAGGACTTCCCTTATTAATACTTCCTAGATATTTTATTAGGTGTAAGTTATATATTACCTATAAAATATCTAGTATATTTATTACAAAAATTTATACCTATATATCTTCCTATTAGGATCCTTAATTTAGCAACCCTGCTATAACTAAACCTAAGATAATAGAGATATAGGTAGGATATAGGCGTCTACCTGCTCTCTTATACTACTATATTTCCTGCCTTCCTAATTATTAATTTACCTTATAGAATGTCTATAACAACGCCCTCTCTATATAGCTATAGTCTACCTAGTATTAGTTAATAGGAGAGACTAGGTACTATATAGGCTAAAAGCTAAGACTACTAACTATCTAAATTATAGTCTAATACTACTAACTATAAAATTCTTATACCCTTAGTAATTCCCTAGGTATATTACAAGGGTTATAGGGGAATATTAATAAAGTTCCTATTAATCTATCTTACTAACTTTTCCTTAACTACACTAAAACACTAGCACCCTAAATTAACTATTACTTGTATATTCTCTACTCTACCTAGGAGGAGGGGAATAAAGAAAGGAGGATTATTTAACCTAGCCTTAATATCTAGGGGACACTTAATAGCCTCTACTATTAATAATTCCTCTATTATAGTGTTCTCCTTATACCCCTAACTTAGCCTAAAGTTAGGGGTAGCTAGTTTCCTAAATTTAGGCTGCTTGCTAATACTATAACTATCTTAACACCTACTAGTTATAGTAATAGGGTATTAGGGCATACACATATAAAATAACTGCCCTATCTACACTAGGTATAGACCTTTGCTAGTTTCTATGCATTAAACAGGTCCTATAGGATCTAGTTAGGACGTGATATTAGTAGTTTAGTAGGTATACTTAATAAGGCTACTACTTCTACTATATTTATATTACTATCCTAATCTAAGTTAGACTTCTACTAGGGTTCCTTAGACTTACTAGCCTAAAGAAAGCCTAGTTCTAGAGAGGCTATTTTAATATCTACTATAATTATCTTATATTCCTCTATAGCTATATTATAGTTTATCCTAGAGACTCCCCTATTAAGGGAAACTAAGCATATATAACTATTAAGAGATTACTAAAGTTATAAAAGCTTTTATTTATTATCCTAGTATAAACCTCCTAACTATATAAGGAGCTATATAAAATTTATAAAGAACTTTATAAAAGGCTAATTTTAGCCCTAATATAAGTATTCTAATATAACTTAGGCGCACTCCTACCTATAATAGTTACTATAATAGAATACTAGGTAGTTAAGAAACCTGCTTATATCCTAACGCTTACGTGTACTATCCTTAAAGTATAGTGCTATAGCGCGCTAAACTATAGGTAATAACTAGGACTAAATATATATAAACCTTGCCTCCTTATCCCTAATAAAGACCTTATCTACACGTAGTTTAAACTCTATAGTTATTTACTAGGAGGAGAAGTTTACCTTAGTGCTATTATATAGTAAGCTAACTAGGAAGGGTTTATAACGTAAGGTAGTAGAGGGTAGAGGTAGTATATTATTAAACCTAGCAGGCTTAGAGGAAGGTTAGAATAGAATCTAATTATATATTTCCTTATTCTATTAACGTAGTATAGCTATTATAGCAGAGTCTTAAGCCTATTATTCTATTAATCTATAGACCTATTATATTAGCCTTTCTACTATATTAGGTTGCACCTAATTATTCTAAATATCTAGCGCGTCTATCTCTTATTACTATTATAGTATATTTAGAAGAAGATACTAAAATATTATAGACTAGCCTTAAGGGAGAATATAATAAGCGTTAATAATAGTATTTAGTATCTTAAAGGAGAGGTAAGCCCTCTACGCCTTTTTATAGGTGTGCAATGTGTTCGCTTAGTAGTGGTGTTAGACTCGGTCCGTCTTGTGTTAGACCCAGGCTTGGGCATAAGCCCAAGCCCTTCACATCGAGTCGGACCGCGCATATTGGATGAACGTCAAGAGTGCCCTGATAATGCCTGAGGGCTGTACACGTTTTCAACACTCTTAACCTTATTGGCTAGATTAACTTAGGACGTTCAGCTCGCTCCCACCATTATCGGTAGATTATGACCAAATTTGCTACTAATAGATACGGCAATTGGACAACGTTTAGAAGCATTTCCTATCAAGACAGCTCACATAGACCCACCGCAAGCCCCGCAAAAGCACTTACTCACTACGAAAACCTTATTGCTGCGCAGTCAAGTCTAGTAATAGATAATACGAAATCTTCAAGTGATGTTTTGATAGAAGCAAAGTCGACGTTATGAACTGTTCAGCAAATCAAACCGCTTGCATTTCCCTTCATCCTTGGATACCATCTATCTCCGTTCTATTCCTATCAGGTTTTGGTACAATTAAAAACAGAACTTGAACTCATTATGAGTCCGTAAAGCATGTCACACTGTAGTATCTAGTCACAATGAGGCCTCAAACGCGAGATTTTGTGTTGACGATGAGACTTGTCAACATGCCAATTCGGATCTGGGATAGTCGGGATCGTCGTTCCCATCCATTCCCGAAGACGCATGAAGCTGACGCTACAGTAACATCTTGGGTCTTGCATATCGCAAGTGTTACAATATGTAACGGGTCTTATGTCGTGACCGAGTCGTCCCCCATTGACTTTGGTCCACTGGAGATATTGGTACGCGAGATCGCTGCAAAGGTTACGCCATTTGCCGGCGTCTTTTTCGCAAGTTTGGTTGTTGGCAGCGTAATCGATCCGGTATTGTGAGCATGCTGAGGAGAGCCCGAGTAGGTTGGCGAAGAAAAGTATTGGTACGAGTGGTTGCATGTCGATCGTTACTTCCAAAGAGTGTTCTTATAGTTCGAGTACGAAAATGTGGTAAGGATGTTGGGTATCTTCCACTGCAAAGATGTATTTCAAAAAAATCGAAATTATAGTTTCACTGGATATTTATTAATGAGGTGAGCGGATCCAACAAAAAGATATCTGCCGATGTAGCCTAGCCATCTTCAAGTCCACCATGGCCTCTCTCCGGCCTCATGTATTGCTCCGGTACCGGTAGGGAGAGGTCGGAATTCCCCGAAGATGTTTCTAGCATTGTCCACGAAAGCGGGGAACCTACTATGGTACTATGCAAAAGTGCTCACCGTGGGTCTACTTGCAGGGGTAAAGTAGGGCCGTGCTCACGGAGATTAGAAACACTGTATTCTAATACTTTTTATGCAAATCCATAGTAATTTGTATAGTAATCAATGCACCCCTAAGTTTCTCGATGTTTCTATCTCTTAGTCCTCAACCCCTATTACTACCCCTACCGCCACCTCTACCACCACCTCTACCACCACCTCTATCACCACTATCTATCACCACTATCTATCACTACTATCTATCACCACTATCTATCACCACTATCCATCACCACTATCTATCACCACTATCTATCGAGTCTATCTGGAATCAGATGAAAAATTGGATTGAATTCTACTATCCAGACCTACCTACAGGGCAACAGCCCTTATACGAACGACTACGAGAGATTGTGCGCGCAGCCTGGGACTCAATCACACCTGATCAGCTCTAATTACTAGTAAATAGTATAAGGGCTCGCTGCCAGGCAGTGATTAAAGCCCAAGGTGGGCACACTAAGTATTAAGAAACTTCGAGAAATAAATATATTACTGTATCACCCCAATGTAGTATAGTTGGATACAGGGGTGGCTCAGGCGCCCCACAGGGGAGCACTTATGCCTGATACCATAGTACGTAACCTGGAGATGGCGGTCAAAACTAGAGAAAAATATGCTCCTGAAAATCTTCTCCAACTGGTAAGCAAGTAACAACGGTGTTTCTGCAGGTCAATCATGGCTTCGATTAAGCTTTGCCGCATGGCTTACACCAGCAGCGAGGCATACTGCAGGAAGAACTTGGAATCTGAATTTGGCGTGACTACAATCACACTATGATCTTTAATTGTCTTATAAGCAAGTCAACCTAAGACAGACAGAAAGAAGCAGAAAATGTATAGTCATGGTTCATTGACTAATTTTTGTATACAAGCAATCTGACAAACTCAACAACAAAGCGTGCGAATTTCCAAGTGATTAAACTCAAGATCTTTAGTTCGTTTTTATACACTCTAATTAATTCATTGTGCATGCTAATCTCCTATCCAAAAAGACAACAGCTCGATAGCTGTCATTACGGACATTATCCGGTGCAGTCGATGGGCTTGTGACCCTGCTCATAATTAGATAAGCCTAGACAGAGGAATTTGGGTCAGAACGTACGGTGTCTTCCCATCCGTTGGAGCCATTTTCAGGATTGACAGGTTGCCACCCACCAGGCATGCTTGGCCAGTGAGACATTCCGGGTTCAAGCATCCATTCCTTATATCGCCAGGCGCGGATCGTGCATAGACAATACCTTGTTTTTCTTGATGGCAGGCAACTGTAACATACACTATCAGCACTAATGACAGGTCCATAGACACCTTCATTTTGGTCGCTATAGGCACGCATATTTGCCTCTATCTGCCAGCAATCGCGATCGACCTGCCCCTTGCCATTATGACATTCCGCCATTTTGTACCATTGGATGCGTTTCTGACGGCAGGCTTCCGTCTCAGGGAAGATGGCAACGAGTAGAAGAGCAGCAATAAAGATGAGAGTCTTCATACTAGTAGTTTTCGTGTAGTATAAAGTAGGAACATGAGCAGATGACACTGCGTCTATAGGAGAGGCGGAGAGGGATGGAGACCGGTCTATTCTATGCGAACTTTGCATTGATATACCAGGTCCTGAGATGTGTTAGAGCTCAATCAATGCACTGGTTGATCTTGATGCGAGCAATGTGGATACTCTCTTATCTGTCGTATGTTTATCCATCGGGAACAAAATCCGCGTTTAACAGAGAGGAACCTTCTTAGCCAATAGCTTTGCCCACGACTTCGATGCACAGACTTTTGAATCTTAACCTGGTCGATGCTAAAAATGCTGCCGCAGAGGAGTAGGCCCGTGAGCTGAGGATCCCGTGACATCTCGGACTAGAATCAAAAGTCTGTGCACCTAAGTCGTGGGCAAAGCCATTGGATAACCAATTGTATTGTAGGCCGTACAGGAGACAGTATGTACGTGATTAGAAGCCCCTCAATTTGTGGGAAGTAGTCGGCCCGTCCTCAAGTGCAACCGTTTACGGCACATCAATTCACCACTTCAACAAGACCGTTTTCATTAGGGTTTAACGGAAATCGCATTATAGCCTGTTCTGAGTTAAATATTTTTACGTAATTAGTTTTTGTCGCAATACCTATACCCCACCAATATCATACATCCCGCATTGAGTGGGGTAAGAGTGTTCACTTTTGCCCCGTTTTCTGCGCGCAAGAGTGTTAGGACATACTAGTCGGCAATCTATGTATCCGCGATTACGTGTGACCTTGTTTCGAGGCTATCGGACTGCTAGTGTCAAATGGTGGCATTAATTATCTCGTAGTCTTTAAAAGACCTAGAAATTCCGCCGCTAACGGTCCTTATACGCTCCCCCCTTGTACCTCTGCCGCTTCCACGTGGGTTATTCAGCGGTGGATCGTAATTGTCTGGGTACAGAGAATAAAGGTATTAGTGCCCTATGGATTGTTGTAAGCATAAAAATAAACTTTATATGATGTGGTAGGCCCTAAGGAATGGTTCTCACAATCCGCTTAACACCTTTGTCTTTCATTTCTTCACTAAGAAGCTTGCAAATATGCGTCGCTCTATACTTACTCTTGAGTTCGCCGGGTTTTTATCTCTTTTTGGCCCCACTCTTGGTTGCGTGCAGAAATATTATCACTATCAGAAAGATTATGAAAATTGCAATGAAGCCTTTATGGAAGGCGTCTTTGAGCTTGCGGAAAGTGAATGCGCGAACTTTCCACAAAAATTCCAGGAGATGAATAAGAACCCCTTGTTTCAAAATATTTTTGGTCAGGAGATCATTTCTTATATTGGGGCCAGAGAACAGCTACCTGAAGAAAATCGCAAATGCATCACCATCGGATGCATCGTCCAAGCCAAGCGGTATCACGAGTGGCAAAATAATATGGAACACAGATCGTTACCAAGGATTAATGGATGGAGATATAGCCATTCTAATCAAAGTCCTTTTACTGTCCATTGCTAAGGTAAACAAATAAACATTTTTTAAGTTCTCTTAATAGGATCTATTATATAGTTAACTAATATAACTAGGAAGAAAATACATACTATGCTATGGCACGGGGTGTATAGGAGAAAACAAGGCTTAGCCTAAAAAGTTAGGCGGGTTGAATGGTATCAAGGCATGAAGGATTAGAGGATAGAATAGTATAACTCCTGCGGACTTTACTTAAACTCTATAATCTTAACTATTCTCTTATAATCCTATATTAAATTTATATCCTCTATTATAGGATCCCTACTATTAAACCTTACCCCTCCTACTTCTCCTTATTTAAATAGGTTACTCTCCCTAATAGTATAAATAGTAAAGCGTAAGGGGAACTTATGTTATCTTAGTAAAGGGGAGGGCCTAGTAATATATAACTAAGAGGATATTTCTCCTAGTATAAGGGGTGTAAAGAAAAATTAGAAAATAGGTAGTGTTAATAATTAATATTATTAAGGTAAAAATAGTAGGCCTATATTAGGACGTGGCTAACGCATATTAGTAGTAATAGAGTAAGAATACTAAGAGGCTAACTAGAAAATATTAGAAACACTAGAACAACCAGAATAACTAGAACTAGAACAACTAGAACTAGAATAACTAGAACTAGAACAACTAGAACTAGAATAACTAGAACTAGAATAACTAGAACTAGAATAAGTAGAATAACTAGAACTAGAATAACTAGAACTAGAATAACTAGAACTAGAATAACTAGAACTAGAATAACTAGAATTATTAGAATAATTAGAACTAAGGATATTGGTTTGCGAACTTTTGCTGTTAAAGTACAAAAAAATTAGCTTGTGCGTTAGGACGCTAGACAGCAAAAGCTAGCTTAGCAAGGAACATTAAAACTTTTGCACGAACTTTGCTGCTAAAACTAGTAAAAGGACGCTAGATAGCAAAAGTACGCTAGATAGCAAAAGCTAGCTTAGCAAGGAATATTAAAACTTTTATACAAACTTTGCTACTAAAACTAGTAAAAGAACGCTAGATAGCAAAAGTACACTAGATAGCAAAAGCTAGCTTAGTAAGGAATATTAAAACTTTTAAACAAACTTTGCTACTAAAACTAGTAAAAGGACGCTAGATAGCAAAAGTACGCTAGATAGCAAAAGCTAGCTTAGCAAGGAATACTAAAACCTAGACGCAAACTTAGTTATTAAAACTAGGGAAAGCTATATAGTAGCTATTAATACTATAGTTTCCTATACTTATAGTAATTTAGCAACGTCTATTTAATCCCTTAAGTAGCTAGAAATTATAGAAGAGGCGTAAAATTATAAATATGCAAATACTATAATAGTATTAATAGGGGACAATAGCAGTATAGTAAGTGCTAGTAACTATAATAGGCAAAGCTAGTAATTATAGAGATCCTTAGGAATTTTCTACCTACACTACGCCTAAAATACTAGGTATAAGAGGACTAACAACCTACTAGGTATTTCTACGCTCTAAGGTAACCTAGAATAGACTAGTTAGCTATAGGGCATTTGCTACTTGCGCTGTTATATTAGGTAAACTAGGGACTTTCTAGCTAAGTAATTTCCTACTATTAGCTAGCTAAGCTTACTTTATAATAAAATTAAGTATTAGTTATATAGATTAGTATAGTTTACTAATAGGTGCTTTGCTATATCCCTACGTTATATTAATAGCTAGGAGGCTACTAACTAAGAGTTAGGAACGTCTATATTATCTAATACTACCTTAAGGTTTCTCTACGTATCTACTATAGGTAGAAGCAAATCTAGCAAGTTATACTCTCTAAGTTCTCTACTATCTACTATTTCTAATAATAGCTCCCCTAGTAGCTATTCTTCTTGCAGATAGCTTAGTAATAATAGTTTAATTACCTTAGCTATATCTTTAACCCTCTTATTATATTACGCAATTATTTTAATCTATTCTTGTAAGACCTATAGGGGTCTTCTTTCTACAAAAGAGTTTAGTACGCTACCTCTTAGTAGAAGGGCAAAAATCCTAACCCTAAACCTATCCTTTAACATTTTCTATTATTTACTATATTCTAGGTACTAGGACTAGGATTAATAGCTTGTTAGATTATCCTGCACTAATATAGTATTACTATTCTTGTCCTAATAGACCTTACTAAATAACTACTCTCTTGCTACTATAGTAAGGCCCCTCCCTTACTAACCTATTAACTTTACTCTCTACTATAAGAGGCCTTCTAAACGTTTATACTCCTTATATAGTGCTACTATTACCTACTAGTACTATATATCTCCTAAGATATTAGCTATTTTGCTCTGCTTTACTATAGCTAATAGCTAATAAAAGCTTGCAACCTTAATTCCTATAAGTGCAAGGCTTATTCCCTGCCCTACGCCACGTGTCTAGGTAAGCTAGGTTACTAGCATACTTTTGTTGCCTATAGCACATTCTATTATACTAGCGTCTATTAGCTCTAGCACCTACACCCCTATATTTATAAAGAGCCTCTTGCCCTCTTAATAAAGTTCTTGCTAGGTATCTAAGATAACGCGCTAATCCTATAAATAGTTAACTATAGCTACTATACTTACCTAGTATATTATTTTAGCAACTTCCTTTATACTAATACTATATAATAACTTTATAAACGCTTAGTATTATTACTTAGTAGAATTATATATAATATATTCTTACTTAGCTTTAATAAAGTCCTATATATTTATAATAGCCTCTAATATAGTAATATTAAACTTCTCCTTAAGTTGCTTATTAACTTAGCAAGTTATAGGTTCTTTATAGGTATAGGTGCGTTTTGTAGTATTTTTATTAAAGGAATCTAGCACTACGCTAATAGCTTCCTTATAGATATTATTAATAAGTTATAAAAGCTAGTCCTTACTAATATATTAATATATCTATTTTAGTATAGTATTTAGGTTATATATAATAAATGCTTAGATAGGCTCTGCTATATAGGTAATAAAGTAGAATTTTAGTTTATCCTAGTCTACCTTGTTAAACACACTATAGACTAGGTAAGAAAGGTTAGTATTGCCCTTAATCTCTACTAGAGATAATCCTAGAGTCCCTTAGGTTATAGTATAGGTAGTAGTGTCTAGGAAAAGTGCTATAAAGCTATCTTGCATATAGGTTAAGCAGTTAGGAGTAGCTAGTAGGGTTACTAGCGCGACGCGCGGCTAAATTATTATACTAAGGTTAGTTAGTGCTAACAATTTGCTAACGCAGGTATATAGAAATCTACCTAGTAAGGGGAATCCTTATACTACACACTCCTTATTCTAGCTATAGTTTTATAGTATTATCTCCCTTAATACTACCTATTATATCTCTATTATTTCTATATTCTAAAATATCCTCTACTATATCCTTACTCTCCTGCTATCTTAACCTAAACAAAGTCTATAGGATCCTTATCTGCGCTTTATATAGAACTATTATCCTACCTAGCTATATTAAAAAATACTTTAATAAATATTATAGTTAAGATATTATACCTAAGGACTGTGTCTAGCTTTAAGTAGAAGTAGACAAGCTATACAAGACTACCTAACTTAAGTTAGCCTATACTAACTTCTAGTTCTTTAAACTAGATAGTAGCCCTCTTAATAAAATTACCTTTCTTAAATTATATATATATATAATCTATAAATCTTATAGGTATATCTATACTAAGAAAAGTGCCTATAAGACTATAAGGGAGTATATACGTAAAGCATATAATCTACCTAAAGCTAAGTATTCTAATACTCTAGAGGATATTACTAACCTTGTGTAGTTAGGTTTTAGCTAGTAATACTTTACTAGGACTTTAGGCAAGGCTAGTAGCCTAAATGCAAACTGCTTTTTTAAAGTAATCCCTTCCTAGATAACTAGCACCCTAGCTCCCTCTATACCTATAAATAAGTAAATATAACTATTACCTACTACGTACTAGCTATAAGATACCCTAGAGGAAGACACTACCTATATATCTAGAAATGCATCTCTAGGCCTATTAGAGTAGCTCTAAGTGTAACAATAAGGCAGAATTGCCTACCTATTGTTCTATGCTAAGTTAGGCCCAATAAAGGCCTGACTCACTTATGTATATAGAGAACAGCTTGCCTATAGTTAGGATAGGTATATTCTTCTTGTCCTTTTGTATAAGACCTATAGGTGTAGGAATCTTATCCTTTTCTATATAGACGCGCACTCTTATATGCCTTTAAGTTGTATAGGATACCTTTTAGATGCCCTACCTACCTAAGTTGTTATATTATAAGAAGAATATTATCCTAGCTAGTAATAGTATTTAAGAATATCGCACTTGTTATTATTTTAAGCTACTAATTTAGTTCTAGTAGCTACCTAACCCTGTAACTCTATAGTTAGAATAGCTATTAGAACTTCTAATAACTAAAGCCTATAGGCTTAGACTTCTAGACCTATAGGTAGTGCTAGATTACCTTTAGAAAAATCGCGTTAGATTGCGTTAAGGTAGAGACCTAGAGACTACTAAAAGCCTAGAGGAATTAGAGGCAAAGCTAATATCCTCCTATAACTAAACCCCCCTAAAAAGAAAAGATTTGTTATTCTTATTAACTATAAAATATTAGACAAAGGTAAAGGAAGGGTATCTAGTTTAGCTACTTTTAAAAGCCTATTTACTAATAGAAAGAAATTAGATAAGGAAGACTTAATTAATAACGCCCTCCTTAAAGGACCTGCTTCCTATATATCTCTTAAGGTACCTTGTGCTCCTAGGAAATCTTAAAGTAATACCTC